AGGCGACAGGTAAGGAAGGAGGTGGTGGGTAAAGAAAGGATGTGATGAGTAGGGACGTGATGGGATGGATGGGAACAGGAAATAATGAGTGAAGACAGGAGATAGAGGGTGGTCCAGGAGGTGATGGATAAGGCAGGAGGTGATGCGTAGAGAGGAAATAGGGTAGGAGAGAGCATGAGGTCATGGGTGGGCCCGACGTTAACGCGTGGATTATTACGTCCATGAGATAGGTGGGGAAACTAAGTCGAGGGGGCAGGTGCTTTCCCCAAGATCACAGAAAGGGTCAGCGCCTGAGCAGGCACCAGACTCTCTTCCCTCTGTGAGTAAAGGAGGGTGGGGAGGCGATGGCAGCCTGCCTCACCGCTGGGATGGCCAGGCAGTGGCAACCCTTGTGGCCCATCAGGAAAATCAGCTGCGTTTTCCCTGCTCCAGCCAGGCCACCACCTGGTGAAACAAACGGGGCAGTTACCAGGGAGAAAGGAGGAGCCTCTTGGCTCCAGCGCCCCCTTCGGTCCCACTCCTTGTGGTTTTGATTCCAAACACCTGCCCTTATTAAGTGCACCACTCAAAAGATCAAGTCATCCCTGCAAGTGTCAGGAGTAAGAGGGGAACCAGGAGAACTCGGGGCACCCCTTCGGCTGGATGTCGCCCAGCGATTCACCTCCCTGAGCTCACACAGACCCACTGCCCCGAATCCCATAAGTCGTTGTCAGACACAAAAAGAGATCATTTGTTTTTTTAAGGAAAATCAAATATAAATGACGTTCGACATCCTTCCATTTTAGATCACCTCCCCTGACTCCAACTCCAATCAGCCAACTCTGGCTGGTCACTGGGGGTGCAGAGGAAGAGAAGCCCCCGCTCCCCACCCCACGCCCCACCTGCGGGAGCCTTGGCCTCCTTTCCCCACTGCCCCAGCACCGGCCACACTTGGTGCTATGCTCCCAACATCAGGCTGACTCACAAGGTCCGTAGCTTGGGCATGTGGTTGAAGCTGGACACGGGGATGGTGGTGATATTGTTGTTGTTTAGGGTCCTGACAAGAAAACCAGAATCCGTTAGCATCTGCCCAACAGAAGCTTACGTGGGAGGGGGAGCAGGGCTGCTCTCCGACAAACGAGCAGACTCTCATGCTGTGTTCCATGACCCACCCTCGAGCTGGACCCGGGGAGCTACGCTGAAGAGCACGAGACACAGAGCCACCCTCAGGGAAAGCCCTGAGCTGGGACAGTAGGTATAAGGCAGATGCACCAGACTCTGAGCCTGGTAGAACAGGGGAGAAGGAGCAAGGAGACCGAGAGTGTGCATGCAGCTTGGGCTGGCTTGGAAGAAAGGGGAGCATTTAGACAGAAAGAGAAGAGCGAGTCAGTCCTTCCCCATGTGTCAGAAACCCTTGGAAGATGTAGCCGCTCGCCCTGGGTGTCATCATAAGCACGGAAAGCCTGGGTCACGCTGTTGCGGGCGAGACTCCATGAGTGTGTGTCCTCCCATCCTCGGTAGCGAATCTAGACTAGCAGAGAGCAGGGCCTCTGCCCTGGGCCCGGAACCTGCCTCCTAGGTCTCCCGCCTCCTGTGCTGCTCCCAGGCCCCAGCTCCAGCGGCCTGGGCCCCAGCACCTGTGTTAGCCGGACTCTCCTGGCCTCTGCTTCCCTTCCCACATTTCACTTACAGCACCTCCAGCCCTCGCAGAGCCCGGAAGGCCCCTTCCTCGATGCAGCTGATCTGGTTCTTGTCCAGCTGTCTGTGAAGCAAAGGAAGGTTCTAGAGAGGAGGCACATTGCCGAGAACAGAGGTGTCCAAACGTTTTTGTCAAGCACTCCACTCATTAAAAAAAAAAAAGAGGCCTAACCCTAATCATTTGTTCCATACAAATGGGTCAATCCAAATGGTAAATAATAAGAACTTAAATTATTTCTTATTTTTAGTTAAAGCGATAAATATAAATAAAAGTTATATTCCTCTACCTAACCTTGCAAATCTCCTGGGGAGCAGGCACCTCTCCTCGCATTTTGGTGGCCACCTAGAGGGCATTGGCAGCTTTGAAATGAGTCTATCGCCAAAGCGGTGGCAGCTAGAACTGGCAGACAGATGCCAGCCTGAGTGCCAAGTGAGACCGCCTAGCGGCGGCTACTTGAAGTGCTGCTCTAAGAATACACTGAGGCTGTGATTTGGGAAACTTGGGAAGAATGCAGTGATCAATTATCAATGTCTATCACAGGTGTAGGGGGCTGGGGAGTGACAGGTGTCCCTGGCATTTGCCATCCCTGCTGTAGTCAGACCTTGAGGAGGTGGTAAGCCTGGACCAGAATACGTTTGAATAATAGGAATAAACTACTACAATTAAATAGCGTTTGACAAAACGTATTTATTTCCATATCTCATTTAAACCTCAGAACAAGCCTATGCGGGAAATGTGATATCCCCATTTTACAGAACAATATATTAAGGCTCAGGGAAGTTAACAAACTTGCTGCAGCTTATCTAATAGGTGCCTGAAAGAGAAGATTCAAATCTAGCTCTCTTAATCCACTGGAGGGCAAGGTCACGGAGACTCTCCATTCACATGGACCAAGAACCTCCCCTAAGCACCCCACAGTTCATGAAACTCCCTTCAACCCCAAAGGCTGCCTGTTTCCTCTGACCTCAGATTGTTCCAGAAGACCATGCTGGCACCAGACACCTCAGAGCCCAGACCAGCTCTTTGGCTGCCTAGACCACAGGGCTTGGGGAGACCCATGAGGACACTGCCAGGGGTGGCCCTTGCAGCCCCCAGCCCCTCTCCATCCCAGGCCTGTACTCACAAATTTTTGAGGTCTGTAGCTCCACGAAAAGCCTTTCTGGGGATGGCTTGGATGGTGTTCTCACTCAGGTCCCTGTGAGAACAAGCCAGAAGGAGAAGCACACTGCTCAGAAGAGATTTCTCCAAAGGGTCCTGATGAGCCAGGGAGGTAGGGCAGGCCCGACAGAGCCCAGGCCAATCACTGCTGCATCCCAGCCCCTGGGACAGTGCCTGGCCCATAAAGGCCCTTGGTAAGCATTTGTTGAATGAATGAATGAATGAATGAATGAGCTGCAGTTCAGTGCCCAGCCACTTCCCAATCTCTGGAGGGAGAAGTCTGGGGAAGAAGTAACCAGTTCTGCCAGACCTTAACCCTGCCTGCCAGACCCACAGAGGTCATCTCTGCCAGATACCCCCACCCCCACCCCAGGTGCATTGTCCAGGGCTGCAAAGGAACAAGCAAAAGAGGAAGAGGCTTCCTAACAGGCTCCTAGGCACCCTGTGGCTTGTGGTGAGTGCACTACAGCTCACTCTCTGGAAGAAAGCGCCATTGGCTCCCAGGTAACCAGCCAGTAGGTGGATGACCCAGGTCCTGAACGCCAAGCTGGGTCTGACTCCAGATCCCTTGCTCTCAGGACTGCAGGCAGCAGAGCTGCCACTGAGAACCTGGCCCACACAAGGGACTGGGCCGGGGGGTGCAGTGCCACATCCCTGCCCTGTGGCTTGCAGGGCAAGGACCACCCAGGACTTCATCACCTCTCCATTAGTAGTGTCCTTATGTGAGAGAGGAAGCATTGCCCCAGGCCAGCTCTGCACCCTTCCCCCAGCTCCTCTGGCAAGTCTGGGCTTCTGGTACCTGTTTATCTAGGTAGCTTTTCCTTCCCACAGTGGTAGTACCACCTGCTGCCATGTTCTAAGCATGTCCCCCCGGCTGCACTGCCTAGTAATTCACGTGCGTGAACACGCCTGACCCTCACACTGACCGTGGGGTAAATGCTATTTCACAAGGAGGACAGGGAGGCTCAGAGAAGTTCAGCAGCTTCTTCAAGGGAACACAGCTGGCAGGTGCTGGCTCTAGGATTCAAACCCAGGAAGTAAGGTCCAAGAGCCTCCCCTTGTTCAGCAGTCCTGGGAGAGGGAACTGGAGTAGGGACTGTTACTTCGCCCATTTTGCAGAGGAGGGAACTGAGCTCCAAGAAGTTAAGTATCTCACCCAAGACTGGACCAGGGTGGGGACCCAGATGGTCTGCTGGAGGGCCCTGCATCAGACACCTCAAACAGCCTGGGGCTGACTGTCCTGATGTGGGACACAACATCGGGTTGTCCCACAGACCCCCAGCCCCTTCTCCTGGGCCAGGCCCTTAAGGCTTGACCATCTCCTTCCCGTCAGCCATTCACTGTGAGCCCCAAGGACATGGCCCACAGAGCCCTGTATGTACAGGCCATCACTAAACACCAACTCCCTTCCCTCCGTCTAAGTTTTCTTGCTGAGACAACAAATCAGAAGCACTGCAGCAGAGTGCACAGGGCCCTGAGCTCAGAAAGGCTGGTTCGAGTCCCAGCTCTCCCACCTCCTGGCTGTGCATCTGTAGGTCAACCCAATTTCTCTGTTATGCAAGTAATTGCTACCATGGCCATATAGCCCATACTGGCTCTATTGTTCCCTTGGTCTGTGGACTGGTTCTCTCCTTCTTCTTAAATGGGATGTTGACACTGGGCAGGGTCACCTGACAGGTAATTACTGGATTGGGAGCAACGGCTATGCAGGCCACACAGGTAAATAAGAGATGGCTCACACTCAGGGGCTCACGGTCATATGACTTCCTCAGTAACTAGGAGCCAAGGCGAACGTGGGAGCCCCACATGGAGCCAAACACACCTCGATGGAGCACCTACATCCACCGGTGATAGCAAGGCTCACACATGCAGAAGTAACCACAGACGCATAGAACACCCTAGAGCACTCAGAAGGACACACGGGAAATGAGTGAATGAAATCTCCATTCTTTGTCCAGCAAGTCTGTACTGAGAGCTGACTATCTGCTGGGGATACCACAAGGACACTCCAGCTTACAATAATGACCAAGTCTACCTGAGGGGGAGGAGATGAACTCTGAAATGGATCCTGAAAAGTAAGTCAGAGCTTACCAGACAGAAAAGGGAAATGAGGGAAGCACATTGTAAGCAGAGGGAACAGCATGTACGAAAGCCCAGAGGCAGGAAGAAGCAAGGCAGGCAGGCTGGGGGAAGGGATCTCACGCAGTTTGCTGTGGCTGGGGTGTATCCATGGGAGCTTGAGGTGGTTTTAAAGTACGTCCACAAATTCTTTGACATTCTTCCTTTCAAAATATGGAGCTTACTTATCCCCTTGATTGTGGGTGGGATTTAGTAATTCACTTCTAAAGAACAGAGTAGGACAGAAGTGACAGTGGATAACTTCTGAAACTAGATCATAGAAGACACTGCAGCCTCCTCCTTACTCTCTCTCAGATCACTCTCTCTGGTAGAAACCAGTGCCATGTCATAAGGACACTCAAGCAGCTCTCTGGAGAGGCCCACACGGGGACCTGAGGACCTGAGGCCTCCTGCCAACAGCCAGCAATGTGAGCCAGTCATCATGGAAATAGATTCTCCAGTCCCAATCGAGCTTTCAGATGACGCAGCTCTGCTATGGCTTCAATGTCTGTGTCTCTCCCAAATTCAAATGTTGAAATCCTAATGCCCAGTGTGATAATATTAGGAGGTGGGGCCTTTGGTAGGTGCTTAGGTCATGAAAGTGGAGCCCTTGTGACTGGAATTGGGGCGCTTATGAAAGAGTTCTGAGAGAGCACCACTGCCCCTTCGGCCATGTGAGGACACAGCTATGAGCCAGAAGGCAGGCCGTCACTAAACACCGAGTCTGCTGGCACCTGGATCCTGGACTTCCCAGCCTCCAGAACTGTGAGAAGTAAGTATTCGTTGTTTATGAGCTACCCAACTTAGGTTGTTTTTGTTATAGCAGCCCAAACAGACTGACAATGCCTCGGCCGACATCTTGACTGCAGTCTCATGAAAGACCCAGGACAGAACCACCCAGCCGCCTACCGAAACTGGAAGATAATAAATGTTTATTGTTCTTTTAGGCCACTACGTTTCAAAGTAATGGGCTAAAACAGGGGTGCTTTGCAAGAATGGTCCAAGAGAGGAGAGTTTTGGAAGCTGTGCTAGAGAGCATGGTCCTGGCTCTTAGGGCGTGAAGACTCCCTGAGAGCCTTTGAGGAAGGCGGGGCCATGCTTAGACTTGACATGAATGAGCTGAAATATGCTTGGGACTTGGCTCCAACATGGTCCTCTTTAGGCCTGTTTCCTCATTTGTCAAATGCGTGGGCCAGACCAGGTGATCTCTTAGTCTCCCTCCCATTGTGTGCCCACCACATGCCGACAACTCCAAGACATAGCAAGTGGGGTGCTTGGCTCTCAGGGCATTTGAGACCCCAAGGAGGAGCAGGGGAAAGTAGGTCATCAGAGACGAGTGGGATGAGAGAGGACAGACACAGCTACCCCCTGCTCTTACCCACAGGGACTCAGGGAGATCTGAGCACATGTGGTGAGGGTAAGACAAGTACAGGGGTCAGTGGCCTGGAGGCTTCTACAGAGTCAGGAAGCTGAAGGCCGCACAGGGATTGGGAACCCCCAGCAGACCCTCCTCGTGGCCCCAGCCAGCAGGCCGCCCTTTGGCCTGGGAGGAATCTCTGGGCTGGAATTCACATCCATTATTCTGTTTAATCCTCACCACAATCTTGCAAGGAAGGTTTTCTATTAGTATTGATTAGTTTATTGATTTAGGCCAACCTTGTTCCAGAAAGGCTTTGAGGTGTCTTACAGGGATTTATAAAACAGCAAGAGAGCAAGAGTGAAAAGTGGGACAAAGAGAAGAAAAATCAATGGCGGATACCAAGAATGAAGCAGCAGGTGACTCACACATCTGTCAGGTTTGGGCCGAGCATGGGCTCTAGGCTTCCTGAAAGCCAGCATGAAAAGGGGAAAGTGGTCAGTTAATAGCATCCCCGATATTTGTATACACTTAAAAAGACTAGTTTTTCTGGAGTATAGCTGTTTGGGGCACTAAGATGAAACAAGTCTTTATAAAAAATAACAGCATGGCCTAATCAATAACACTAGATCCTTAGAATAAATGGGTTTCAAGTGTCTGCTTCTTATAATAGCATCGCAACAAAGTACAATTCAGGAAAAGCAATTCACAACAGGAGCTAAGTGGGAAGGGAGGGGCAGGAACAATCCATGCAAAGGCAGGAGGCATGGGAGAGCCCGGCATGATCCAAGAGTAGCCGGGTTTGCCTGGAGCAGTAGGTACTGGGGAGAGGATGCTGGCAAGAAAAATCCTTGCAGGCCAGAGAAGGTGATAGCTGAGACCAGAGAGGGTCTTTTAGACATAGCGCTGGGGCACCAAAGCTTACAGAAGGAAAACGCTGTCCCCAGGCAGACAGGCAATAGGACATCATGAGCCAGTCCAAGAGGTGAGGATCCAGGGATGAGGCAGAGCTGAGCTGATCTTGGGACCTCAGACACGGTGCCAAGCCAGCCCAGAGCAGTAAGCAGCTCACATTGTTTAAATGAGTAAAGGAAACTGGATTCGAGACTCTAGAATAGGCCAGCCTCTGGAACAGAGGAAAATGAGTGAGTCTTGGAAGTCTGAGGGAAATTCAGCATGCTGGCAGCAGAGGGGATGGTGGAAAGAGCCTGAACTTTGCAAAGAGAAGGATCTAGGTTCAATTTCTGCTTCTACCATTTACCAGCCACGAAACGTGGGAAATTATGCACCTGAGAGCTTCAGTTTCCCTATTTGTAAAATGGGGATAAAAATATCTACCACACAGGGCTTTGGAGAAGATCGAGTTCATGTATTTAAGCTTCTGTTCTAGTTCCTCCATTTGGCAATATTTGAGAAATCCGCATCCGCATTTCTTTCGTCCCGCCCTAAAAACGTCCACTCAACGCTTTCCTAAGGTTCTGACTGTTGTTTCCAGCTTTGCCTCTAGAGGGCGCCAGACGCCTTCCCTGGATTTGGACGCCTTCTCAGCCAGCCACACCACA